TAGTCTAGTCTAGTCTAGTCTATAGTCTAGTCTATAGTCTAGTCTATAGTCTAGTCTATAGTCTAGTCTATAGTCTAGTCTATAGTCTAGTCTTAGTCTAGTCTATAGTCTAGCCTGTAGTCTTGTCTATATTCTAGTCTATTGTCTAGTCTATAGTCTAGACTATAGTCTTTCTATTTGCTCTTCTATATTACAAGTTAGTACTTTTTCCAAATTGCAATTTTAATTGCCTGATCGGTAGTGAATAACAGGGAGCACCAAGTTTGTAATGGTAATGAATGGGTGAGATTGTATAAGACAGTTGGTCGAACGGAAGGGCAGGGCATGTTCAGCTTAGAATCTAATTTGAATTTAGGTCTTGTTTAATGGTAAGTATTACAAGTTTTGTTTTTTTTTAAGTGACATTTATTGAGTTAAGTCTTTCTGAATATATCCAATACTCAGTTCAATAAGATGAGCCATTGCTTCATATCTATTGTGTAATTCTAATTTGATTAAAAATATTTTATTATTTACAATCTACAATTAGAGATTAACAAATTTATTCATAAATTTATATTTCCGATTTGCTCGTCTTATTTGGAAAGCTATTAATGTCATAATATATTTGCATTAAAATATAACATTTTTATAAATATTAATTTTAATGGGCAAATATACCGAACAAATGAATTATTATAAATTTTTTACAATATTTGACATTTAATTATTTATTAACGCATAAAATACACGTCAATAGAGGTTGATAATAAAAATTTGTGTTTTTTATATTTTATTAATTAATTATTTATTTTTTTTTTTTTGATTTGCATTTTAAATAAAACGAAAAGAATCATACTAGTCTGTGATTAATCTTGACTTATCAAACACTAATAAATTTTTTACTTATCAGCGATTTGTCAGTAGAACATACATTCGGCGTCATCCCAAATTTAAAATTGTGATAATCTGCTCTAAAGGCATAATATAAGTATGTACATACATACATACGTTTATTTGTATAAAGCAGTAACTTATTTGGTAAAATTATTAAGTCTAGTTTTTGAATTTTTAAGTTTTAGGAAAGATAATAGTTTTATAATAAAATTCTAGACAAATTTATCGATTCTATAACTGTTCCAAGTTTTTTAATTAAATACTTAATAATAGTTAGCTTTTTACGGAGATAATCTATTTTGCTGCCATATTGTGTATATTTTTAAACAAATATATTGGCATTGTCAACAAGAATTCTTATTGAAATTTTTTTAAATTATTATTATTAAAATAATTATCAACAAATCTAATAATAAAGCTATTAGAACAGACCCCCAGTAAGACAAATAGATATGAGGTGTTAAGATTAGGTATTATTGTTGTTTACTATAAAAATTCTAATAAAATTATTTAAATATAATTTTTATTTTTAATATTTTTTAAAAACAATTCGATTTGGTAGAAGAAAAAAGTTTCAACATAAATACCGTGATTAATTTTAGTTAATGATAAAAGTTCTTACTAGTTAAGAATAATTTCATATATAGTATGAAATTTTTCGTTTTTATTTCATTTTCAATCAAAATCTAGAGGCATTAACTTAAATTATATGAATTTTCATTATACCCTACACCACTTTAGTGGGGAGGGTATATTGGATTTGTGCTGATGTTTGTAACATACAAAAATATTCGTCCTAGACCCACCTTAAAGTATACGAATCGGCTTAGAATTGTTTTCTGAGTCGATTAAGCTATGTCCGTCCGTCTGCCTGGCTGGCTGTCCATGTAAACCTTGTGCGTAAGGTACAGGTCGCAATTTTCAAGATAATTGGATGAAATTTGGCACGCACGTTTTATTTGACCCAATGACGAAGCCTACTGAAAATAGTTAAAATCGGTCCATTATTTCACCTAGCCCCCATAGAACAGAACCCCCCGAAAAGGGCTTCTGAGCTCATAATTATGTTAAATATACAGATATGTCGATAAAATACGGCACAACTAAGTTTTATAGAAGTCTTGATGACCCTGTCAAATTTCATAAAGATCGTACAGCATTTGACCCTAGCTCCCATACAAAGTCCCCTTCAGAAAATTACTTGAATGTCCCAAATTAACTTATAAACACAAATATCGCGATGAAATTCAGCACAATAAAATATTATGTAAATATAAATATATTCACAAAATGTTATCGGGCTTGGTCCATATTTGCCCCTAGCCCCCATATAAAGCCTCTTTCAGAAAATTAGTTTTTCATCCATAAATTCCTTAAATGTATCGGAACAAGGGAATATTGAAGATAAATGCTTTATTGTGAAAAATAAATCACATTTAATATTCATAAATGGTGTAGGGTATCATATGGTCGGCCACGCCCGACTATACTTTCTTACTTGTTTTATTTTTATATTTGTAGAAAGAGATATTATAATAAAATATGTATGAGAAAACAATTTGTATCCATGACGTATGATTGATACATTTATTTATCATACGCTCTAGAGCTTAAACAGTGATCACTAGATATTGTAAACATGTATGTGGGTAGATCACAGTGGAACCGATAATCAAACTAGTATGAATAGTCATGCATGGCCGACCATATGATACCCTACACAAGTAAGTATGTAGATTATTTTAAAAATAATAAAGCATTTATTTTGTTTTTTACCTTAATTCCGGAATACTTTTTTAATTTTGATCTTCAAGTCATTTTATGAGGGAGAGTTTGTATGGGAGCTAGTATCAAATGATGCCCGATCATTACGAAAATCGTCAGTACTAAGTTCTGCCCATTTTTGTTGACATACTAGAACACTTAACGACCTCAAGCTGTACATGAACACACAGACAGACGGACAGACAGACAAACTAACGGTCGGACAGACGAACATAGCTAAATCGACTCAGAAAGTAATTCTGATATACTTTAACGTTTTTAAAGTACTAGACTACAGACTAGACTACACACTAGACTATAGACTAGACTATACACTAGACTATAGACAAGACTATACACTAGACTATAGACTAGAATATAGACTAGACTATAGACTAGACTAGACTAGGACTAGACTAGACTATAGGACTAGACTATAGACTAGACTAGATATACACTAGACTATAGACTAGAATATAGACTAGACTATAGACTAGACTATAGACTAGACTATAGACTAGACTATAGACTAGACTATAGAATAGACTATAGACTAGACTATAGACTAGACTATAGAATAGACTATAGACTAGAACTAAAGACTAGACTATAGACTAGACTTTAGACTAGACTATAGACTAGACTATAGGACTAGACTATAGACTAGACTATAGACTAGACTATAGACTAGACTATAGACTAGGACTATTAGACTAGACTATAGACTAAGACTATAGGACTATAGACTAGACTATAGACTAGACTATAGACTAGACTATAGACTAGACTATAGACTAGACTATAGACTAGACTATAGACTAGACTATAGACTAGCCTATAGACTAGACTATCGATAGACTATAGACTAGACTATTAGGCACTAGACTATAGACTAGGACTATAGACTAGACTATAGACTAGACTATAGACTAGACTATAGACTAGACTATAGACTAGACTATAGACTAGACTATAGACTAGACTATAGACTACTAGACTAGACTATAGACTAGACTATAGACTAGACTAGACTATAGACTAGACTATAGACTAGACTATAGACTAGACTATAGACTAGACTATAGACTAGACTATAGACTAGACTCTAGACTAGACTAGACTATAGACTAGACTATAAACTACACTAAAGACTAGACTATAGACTAGACTATAGACTAGACTATAAACTACACTAAAGACTAGACTATAGACTAGACTATAGACTAGGCTATAGTCTAGACTAGTCTATATTCTAGACTATAGTATAAAATAGAACTGACAAATCAAGTAATGTATAAGAAAAATAAATCTTTATTTTAACATAATCAATTAAATTTGTTAAGATTATATTTAAATTTCTTTTTTTTTTTAATTAAAGCCACACCACACCCCTTAAAATGTCGTATTTCTTATTCGCATATAAAAATTTCAATATAAATCTAGTAAAATCTTAATTTTAATAAAAAAAATCAAAAGCAAAATAAAAAAACACAAATCTTATAAATAAAACTCAAAAGACAAAAAAATTAAAAAAAAAATACTATAAGCATTTGAAATATGATCAAGATAGAAGTAGTATAATTTAGACTTTCTAAGTAAAGACAACAAAAACTGTTTTTAAAAATACTATTTTAAAATTAATTATTAAAAAAATTAAAAAAAAACATAACAAATTGACGTAAAATAACACCCACCAGCTAAACAACAATAATGAAAAGCATAATTTAAGGGTTAAAATGAAAGTTAAACATCAAACAGCAACAACAACAATATAAACAAATACAAAGATATATTTCGTGAAAAATTTCAAAATATAAAAATTCATATGTTGGTTCGTATATGCAACAACTTCGTTGTTAAAATCGTGTCGGAAAAACGAAACGGATATCATATTTGCCAACTTTAGTATTTGTGTGTGTGTGAGTGAGTGATTTTTTTAAACTCTCGCTATAAGATATCAACAAGTGTTGTTGTGCATGAGAAAAAAACAACTACAATTTAGCAACTAAAACAAGAAAACACTTGTTTATTATTGTTGCTTTTAACATTTTTACCTGTTATAAAACTTTTACAGCTTGTGTGTGTAATGGTATTAGTAAAATAGACTTTGTGTTGTAATATAACGGTAAATCTGCTCTCCTATATATAAAAAATGTTGACCGCGAACAGTTGTGGCACATTAACAAAGTAACTGTTAAAACTGTCAGTTATAGATTTATTCATAAAAGAAGTGATTGCAATAGCAAATCAAGTGAAAGTGAATAAAAATAAAAATAACAGAAAATATAAATTTGAAATAGTTTTTAATAAATTAATTAAAAAAATTAATAAATAAAGTGTTAAAAACTAAAAATAGAAGAAGAGTGTTCGTTATTAAAAACATTAATTGCAGAATAAATTGAATTAATTTTCGGTGAGTAAAAAAAAAATTGATTAAAAATTTTTGTTTAAGCGACGGCTTAATAATAGCTGAGTAATTCAGAAACAATAAATGAAAAAAAAAAAAAATCAAATTTTGTATGAAACAATTAAAAAATAATTAATAAATTATTATAATAGTCTATAGTATAGTGTTCAGTAAGATCTGTAGACTGCTTTAAAGTCTGGACTATAGTCTGGAACAAAACTATGACCCATTTGTGAGCTATAGATAAAACTATAGTTTGCTCTATATTGTATTCTAAAGTCTTCACTTTAATCTGGACTATAAACTGACTTATAGTCTGAACTATAGACTGGTCTGAATATAGAACAATTTTCAATAAAATTATTATATAGAAATTGATTTTGTAGACAAAATATCTAAGGTAATTTTATGGATTTTATAAGATTTTTGGATTTAGAGAACAATTTAAAGTTCTTAAAGATTTTTTTTAAATAAGATGACTTTAATTATTTCAAATATTTCATCATATTATTATTCATATAAAACATATCACTTTCTATGTTCATTGAAGGTCTCTTAATCATAAATGGCAACTAGACTTTAGTCTAGCCATTTTAAGTAGGAGTGATACTATGAAATATATAAAAATTTATTAAGAAATTGACAGGCATTATTAATCTAAAATTTAAATTAATTTTTTTAATAAAAATTCTCTTTACTATAAAAAAAAACTAGAAATTTGTATACAATAGTTTATAAAAATATTTGTAAAGAATGTTGTGTATCCATGACGTATGATTGATAAAATTCATATATTTATTTATCATACGCCATACAGGTGAATCAATGATTGCTGCTACCCATTCGAGACATTTATGACTCTTCTGGACGATTAAAATTATTATATATGAGCTCATTATCTGGTCATAAATGCTACTTTCGTTGTGAAAAAATGTTACCCTATCCGAGACTCTTCTAAAAGAGTCATTTATGAGTCCCACTTCTGATAATTTTATACTCATTTTATGATGTTTTTTCTGATCATTTATGATTCTCACTTCTGATCATTTCCGGCTAATTTTACAATCTTTTTTCTGATCATAAATTATTATAGTACACTATTCACGACTCTTCTAACAGAGTCATTTATGAGCTCCACTTCTGACAATGTTTGATTCATTTTATAATCTTTGTTGAGTCATTATTGAGTCATTTATGAGCCCTATTTCTGAGAATTTCTGACTCATTTTGTAAACTTGTTTTCTTATCATTAATGATACTGGGGTGACGATTGACTTCTTCATAGGATTGCTAGTTATTTTGGCAATCGGTGGCTAGGGGTAACTTTAAGTCGTATGTTAAATAGGTCGGGAATGTCCGACCGAACTGTAATTTTATAAACGAAATGAGAATTGTATCAACTCATTTAAGGCCACTCACAATTTGTTTAGCAACTCTTCAGAAACAGTCTTTTAAGAGCCTCTTTTTGTAATCAGTTTAGACTCAATTTTGATTATAGCTACTAGAGGCCTTAGGGCAAAAGGAATTAAAATCTGTGATCTTTGGACGAATATAAAGATTTCTGACAAAATTTCCGAAAAAAAATAATCGAGAATGTGAATTTTTTCATGGGTTTCTTTGCGAACTTCTTGAAAGCTTGGCTGATAGTACTAAACTGGTGGCGTCAAATGTATCCTTGGCTTTTCTTTGGAATGATTTGATCTGGGCTGAAGCAGAAAACCCTATAATCTGGTACAAGCGGAAAGAGAATATTAGTTCAAGAACTGATGCTCGGTGAAATCTATATTTCTAAATAAGTTCAGTGCTGTGAGACTAAAGATGGAAATGGGTTAGAGTTAAATGGATACGATAAGAATTTTTCTTTGGCTAATTTGATGCCCCCGTAGTTTGGTTTACCGAACTGCTTGATGGTTTGTATCTCAGAAATTAAGCAACGGGGCAGCAATGGTCAGAGTTTAGTTAACTCGAATACTTAAATAAAGTGCTTGTACATGAAACGGATGAATCATGTACAAAAATTGCCACCTCCGTGTTCTTTGTAAAGGACGGTGGTGAGTCATCATACTGTGGTTGTAAAAGTACCACCATTATGTAAGGCCGTAAAGTCAGGTGCTCACATAAAGTACTTATGCAGACAGACAGACGGTCACATAGGCTTGGCTAAATCGATTTCGCTATCTTTAAGGACTCGGAATATATACATATACTGTAAAGGAACGGACTTTCGCTAAGATATAATAACCCAAAATAAAACCAAAACTCGAAAATGCAAAAAGAAATCATCATAAAAATTTGAATAATGCAAATTGCATCATCATTTTTTGAATATAATTAGAAACAAATTTTTAAATTTAATCAAATAATTTTAATAAAATAAAACCAAAATCTCTCTAAGGCGCCTTAAAAAATGGGCGTTTTCTTAAAATTTAACTCAATATCAGTAGCAAGTAAATTATCAGTTTTTGTTTTTGCTAATAAATTTCAAGAAAAATGTATGATTAAGCCTTAATATTTCGTATTATTTATTATAAAAGTCTCGTGATGTTTTAATTTTTTTTTGTATAAAAAAAGAAAAAAGTGTTATCAGCTGTATGAAAAAAGGAAGAATTAATATAAATTTAAATACGTGCGTAATTAAGATTCAGTTTCATTTTTACATATTTCCTAAGATTCAGCTTCTTTTTTATATATTTCCTAATCTTAAGAACACACGTTTGAATTTGAAAGTAACAAAAGTCAGTGTTTAAGTTTTGACTAAGTACAACGTCTAAATCAATGATTAATTTCATTTTACTGGATTATATTAAAGAAAAGGTATATCTGAAGACAATGACCCCATTTTTTTTAAATTTAAATAAAATTTCTTTTAAAAATTATGTTTATGTTTAAACATAGATTACTTTATTGATAATTGGGTAATAAAAATATTGCGTTTTACGTTTTTTAAATAAAAATTTAAAAGCGATATTGAGATAAGAACACAAATTTTCAATTAACATTAAGAAAAAATCGCCAGATTATTTACTTTAAAACAGAAACTGTTTTAAATACATACATTACCAAAACAATGGTAGGCAAGAGGAAAATTCGAAATGAGAGAGCTCTCTTAAAATCAAAACTTCTTTCAATAAGAGTTTTTCATTCAACTGTATTAGTTCATTTAATTTCGCTTTATCTGCAGCTAAATAACGTATAACTCTCAGTTCCTGCTGGCTATAGTTGCCGCTCCCTACTCTCAGAATAAACAAATTCTCTTTATTTGAAAGTCTTCATAAAGTAATACAATCTGCTTTTATATACATAATTTCTTTAAAACAGTGTAATATCAATTTGAAAAATTTGTCTCTAAGCGTGTCAACTAATTAATCATTACCTCATTTATTTGGTCTTCATAAAATGCCAGTAACTAATTATCATCATTATTTAAAACAGCTATATATTCAAGGCTAATCTCTACTAAAAGATTATTTCATTGAACTTTCTTTTAAAATAAAAAAAAAAAATTAATAAAAATGTAGAAATTTATAAGGGTATTGCACAATACATATATGCCACGTTTAAATTTAAAATAGAATAATTTATTCATTGAGAAATATCATAATTTAAAATAGCAAATTAAAATTAAAACAAAAAACGTTAATAATGACAATTTTTTATTTGATAGGAAAACATTAATTTAATTGTAAGAATTTAATTTAAACAATTATTATTTTTATAAAAAATTAAAACGTCTAGAAATTTTCTACAGGAAAGAAGCACCTTGTTAAGGAAGAGAGTAAGAACAACGCTTGCTTACTCCATTTACTCCAGCGTACTTACTCTCTCTCTCTCATGTAGCAGTATCATGTAGTTCATATCAAGGATAGACAATTTAGTACTTTTTATTTCCTTCAGTTCTTTTTTACAGCGGAACACCAGTTCATGTCTATGGACTAGCCCATAGACTATAGACTAGTCTATAGACTAGACTATAGACTAGACTATAGACTAGACTATAGACTAGGCTATAGACTAGACTATCGACTAGACTATAGACTAGACTATAGACTAGACTATAGACTAGACTATAGAATAGATTATAGACTAGACTATAGACTAGATTATAGACTAGACTATAGACTAGACTGTAGACTGTACTATAGACTAGACTATAGCCTAGACTATAGACTAGACTATAGACTAGACTATCGATTAGACTATAGACTAGACTATAGACTAGACTATAGACTAGACTATCGACTAGACTATAGACTAGATTATAGACTAGATTATAGACTAGATTATAGACTAGATTATAGACTAGACTATAGACTAGACTGTAGACTAGACTATAGACTAGACTATAGACTAGACTAGACTACAGACTAGACTATCGACTAGACTGTAGACTATAGACTTGACTGTAGACTAGACTATAGACTAGACTATAGACTAGACTATAGACTAGATTATAGACTAGACTATAAACTAGACTATAGACTAGACTATAGACTAGACTATAGACTAGACTATAGCCTAGACTATAGACTAGACTATAGCCTAGATTATATATAGACTTAACTATAGACTAGACTATAAACTAGACTATAGACTAGACTATAGACTAGACTATAGACTTGACTATAGACTAGACTATAGACTAGACTATAGACTAGACTATGGACTAGACTATAGACTAGACTATAGACTAGATTATAGACTAGATTATAGACTAGACTATAGACAAGACTATAGGCTGGACTATAGAGTAGACTGTAGATTAATATATAAACTAGACTATAGACTAAACTATATACTAGTCTATATACTAGACTATAGACTAGACTTTAGACTAGACTTTAGACTAGATTATAGACTAGACTAGACTATAGACTAGACTATAGACTTATCTATAGATTAGACTATAGACTAGACTATAGACTAGACTATAGACTAGACTATAGACTAGACTATAGACTAGACTATAGACTAGACTATAGCCTAGACTATAGACTAGACTATAGACT